AGATCACTGCGCCTGTAGACACACAAACAGATGTGCAACTTCACTCATCAATGCAGACTGACAGCAGACTGATTAGCTTTATTACACTTAGCAGGTTGGCAATAGCTTAAAAATATTTGAGCTGGGCATGGTGGTGTATGCCTGTGGTCCCATCTACTTGGAAAGCTGAGGTGGGAGGATCACTTGAGCCCAGGAATTTGAGGCCTGCCTGGACAACATAGCAAGACTTTATCTCTTTAGTGGGGGGRAAAAGTTGATAACACTGCTGTATCTGTTTGGCAACTCCCATTAGCATTCTTGGGCATGCACCTCTGAACACTGGAGGGTCCATCCCAGGAGTTCACCTTCAGACTGTCTTATTCATGTGCAAATACCTGGATATAAGTAGTCACAATTTGCCTGCAATAATCTCAAATTAGAAGCCACTTCAAGTCTAATCAAAAGACTGACCAAATGCACTAATAAGCATGTATCAGAAGCACTTCAAATGTGAAGCTTCAGCTAGAGACTGGAAGGGAAGAGAAGGGTGACTTTTTTTTTTTTTTCACTGTCTGCTTTATTTTTTTGTGGTGCTGAGGATTGAATTTGGGGCCTTGTGCATGTTAGGCAAGTGCTCTACCACTAAGCCACATCCCAAGTTCATCTCTCTGCTTTTTTGTACCTTTCCATTTTGATGCCAAGAGTATGCGCTGACTATTCAAAATCATACTTAGAGGGGCTGGGTTATGGCTCAGCGGTTGAGTGCTCGCCTAGCACGGGCGGGACTCGGGTTCGATCCTCAGCACCAAATAAAAATAAAGGCATTGTGTTGTGTCCATCTACACCTAAAAAAATAAATATTTAAACAACAACAACAAAAATCACCCTTAGAGTACATGCACTCACAGGCAGGGAAAGGCCTGGAAGGATTTATATCAAAGGTTAATAGCACTAGTACCGTTTGTCTCAGGAGCTGCTGCATTTCCTTATCCATAACAACAGTTTCCCTCTGCAAACACACATCCACTTCCTTCCTTCATGAATCACAGGATAATAGGCTTTCTCCACATTTCAGATACTGCAGCCTTGGTGGACCACAGGTCCCACTGCGAGGGGCAAGAAGTACCAATTACATAACTGCCTTAAGAAGGAGCTCCTTTGGTCTGCTGTGGTCTCTCAACAGCTCCCATTATCTAGGGAACCAAGGGTGTCTGGCACCTCCACCACCCAGTGGTCCAGACACCTCTGGCTTTAAGACCTGTTTTTTCCATCTCTCCTCCCACCATGCTCAAGTCCTGCATATCTCCCATAAAACTATAGATAATGTGCTTGCAGTCAGTCTCTCTTTCCAAAGAATCTGAAATGCATTCCTTCTTATTTCTACCACTAGTAAGTTTGCAACAGCCATAGACCTGATACACCTTCTAGCAGAAGTGTCTAGTTTCCTTGCAAAGAATTAAAATGGGGAAGAAGTAGGAAGTACACACAGGTTGCCCTAGAAGGCTGAATTGGAAGGGAAGAGGCTGGGAATTTTAAACTATTTTATTTAGTCACATGTTGAATAAAATATAATAAAACATTCAAAGCCCTGTCTTTTGACAAGGGAAGAGAAAGGCCAGAGTCACAAAGAACTGCAGAAGGGCCCTATGCTCAGGGGAGTGTATGCCAATAACACTGGGAAGTCAAAGGGTACCACATAAGCATGAGCAGGTGAGATTTACCACAGAGATATACCTCCACTGGACAAAGCGGGTTCCATACAAAATATGCGGTATATTTGTTGGCTCTGGGATCTTAAATCAATCTTTGTTACCTTATCTATAACATGGGGTAATATGTAATTCATATGACTGACCAGAGAATCACAATGTTAAGGAAGGTGGTCCTTGGTCACAGTTCAAAATGCCTGGCAAATGCCTCACAATAGAAACATACTGTCATTGTTACAGCAAGGCAAAGGACTAGCAAGCTCAACACCTTACAAACCGCACAAGGAATCTTGGCCCTCGTCCCAGAGTTCTGAAGGTATCAGAGGACCTGCTGAATAATGGGGAGTACGGTCTCTTAAATCCTTCCTGGTGTATTCCTAATTGTGGGTTAGCTCCAGGATTCCCATTTTATTTTCACCTGATGGGTTTTCAGTAGAACAGTGTCTCTCTCATAGGAGGTTGGCAGAGACCTCTATTTTGTCCCCTTGACATCTTTCCTGAATCCATCTCATACTGCCCACCCCATTATTCTTAGCTCTCCATGTCTTGAATTCAGAACTTTTTCCAACTTTAACTCAAATCCCTTGTCAAGCTGGGCCTGGTGGCACATGTCTGTAATTCCAGTGACTCAGGGGGCTAAGACAAGAGGATCACAAGTTCAAGGCCAGCCTCAGCATCTCAGTGAGGCCCTAAGTAACTTAGGGAGAAAAATAAAAATAAAGAGCTGGGGATGTACCTCACTGGTTAAGCATCCCTGGACTCAATACCCCTGGTACCCCCAAAAAAAATTCTCTTGTCAAAATTTGCACTCTTAGATGGGGATTTAGCTCAGTGGTGGAATGCCTGCATAAGGCCCTGGGTTCAATCCCCAGCAAAGTAAATACATAAGTAAAAATTTAAAAATTCCCATTCTCTAGAGGCATCACTGATTGTCAGATCTAATTACTCATAAAAAAAAAGAGTGAAAGAATGAATAGTTTTAAAGCAGGAGGACTCAGTTGAAGTGCTTACATAGTATACAGAGGCCTGGGGTTGGATCACCCCTGCTGGAAAGCAAGCAAGAGGAAGGATTTCTACTTCTTCATATTCTAAACAACATTTAGTGCATTTATCAGCCTTCCCAGGGAAAATAATACACTAAAAGTACACAGCAGTCCTTTGCCCTCTCCATCCCTGCTCTTTGACAAGATGCTTGTGGAACTCAGTGAAAAGAGGCAGGAATCAAAGGATACATATTACACGAACACTGGTCTCAACATAAAGAAACAGCTGTAGCAACTTTGGTACTTCAAAATGCAAAGATTTAATGTTTGGAGTTTAAAGAATGGACCCAGACCAGTTTTTAATTTTTTTTTTTTTTTTGTACCAGGGATTGAACCCAGGGATGCTTAAAAACTGAGCCATATCCTTACTCCTTTTTATTTTTTATTTTGAGACAGGGTCTCACCAAGTTGCTTAGGGCCTTGCTAAGTTGCCAAGGCTAGCTTTAAACTTACCATCCTCCTGCCTCAGCCTCCCAAGCTGCTGGAATTACAGGTGTGTGCCACTGTACCCAGCTAATTTTTTTTTTTTAATTTGACCAAATATACCACAGCAACGTAGGATGGTTTAACATTAGGGAAAACTGGATGAGGGGTATAGTGGAAATGACAGCACTATCTTTACAACTTTTTTTTTTTTTTTGGTGCCGGGGATTGAACTCAGGGCTTCACCCATGCTTTGCACATACTCTTTTCACTGAGGCACAACCCCAGCTCTTTTGTAACTCTTATGGAAATATGTTATATTTTTCTAAAATAAGTTTATTTTAAGAATAGGCTGGGGGGGGGCTGGGGTTGTGGCTCAGTGGTGGAGCTCTTGCCTAGCATGTGCAGGGCCCTGGGTTGAATCCTCATCACCACATAAAAATTAAATAAAATGAAGGTATTGTGTCCAACTGCAACTAAAAAATAAATATTAAAAAAAAAAACAGGCTGGGTGTGTAGCTCAGTGGTAGAGTATTTGACTAGTATGTACAAGCCCTAGATTCCATCCTCAGCATCAAAAAACAAAGATTATTGTTCAGATTGGTAACTAAGATAATTCAATTATTATTTTAAGTGCCTTAGTATTGGCCAGATCCTGTGCTAGTACATGTATGTGATATGGCAGGAATTTGCTCTAGTCCCTTAAGGAGAAGCCACTCTAAACATATAGGGTACACATGGATGTGCACAAAGGTATAGGTTTGAGCATCAGCATTCCTCAAACATGCCACCAAACAATGTCCTCCTAGAGAGTTTGGCTAATGATGGGGCAACCAGTGTATGRTTATAAGGCTCAATGGTACCAGGATCAAGCTCAGCTTCTGGCATGGAACAGGTGCTCAGCATACATTTGCTACGTTTACTAGAAAACAGCAGAAGGTAAAGGGCACGTATGTGATGGGAGATGGCAGCTTGGCAGGTGAAGCAAATAGTAAGGTTTCACAGAGAATGTAAGATTGGCTTGCGCACTTGAGAAATTTAGGAGTTTGGGGGGGGGCTCGGGGGCTGATGGATGGAAAGAATAACATTCTGGCCACGCCTGTACGTTTTGGATAGAGAAAGAAACGCAACGAACCCAAAGCGTTTGGGGTGGGGAAACTGATGTCTTTCATGTCCATAACCTATCTATCTGAAAAGGAATTTTGGCCTTATTTCTGTACTAGAATTGAGCACACAATTTAGACATCAAAGACGTCAATCAACAGCAGGTAAGGGAGGGTGGTGGCTCCTACTTCGTAGGGTTCTCAAGCTCTGGCTTTTGCAATCTCTGCATTAATAAAGCCTACTGCCACAAGTGGTAAACACCAAGGACAATTAATTTTAATTATGATCTTCGTGTGGGCAACTTGAAAATACGTCCCCCTCGCAATAAACAATCCTTCGTTGGAGACATCTTTTGTTCTTATTTCTTCAATTGCTGCTTTTATTTTTTTAAAAAGGAAAGAAAAAAAAAACCCAAAACACTAAGTATCTAGTTCATGTCCAGTAAACCTCTGCATGGTGGGGCGGGCAAGGGGCCGGGAGAGGCGGGGAGGTGGAGAGAAGGCGGGGAAAACCAAAGATTAGGCTTTGTGGTGTATTTCCAAATGGAGTGAACCAAATATCAACACACCCGAAAATGAGAACAGAACAAAAAAGTCAACGGATCCGCCTCTCTCGTGCCCCTGCCCGCCCGCCCGCACGCCCAACAGGTGCTTCCCAGGCCCGCCCGCCCGCAACCACAGTACCCTAGGGTCGCCACAAAGTAACCGCCCGCGCAACTGTAACGAGGCCCGCCAGTACTCACGGCCGCTCCGCGGTCCGTGTCCCGGCCCGCAGCGCCCATCCGGCCCGGGCCTCGGTCAGCGCGGGCTGTGCTCTCAGGCGGCCCCGGCGTGGCCCGGGACGCGCTGCGGCCGTTGGCGCCTCGGCAAAGCGCGAGGCATCCTCCCGCCGCCGCCCCGCGGGCCGCCAGCCCTTTGTTTTGGAGCAGCTGCCGGGCCCAGCCGCCGTTAACGGCCTCGGAACGCTGCGCCGGCCAATCAGCGCACCACCCCGCCCGCGCCCCGCCCCATCTCGCGCGCCCCCGCCCGGTGTGCTCCACGCCACTAGGATGGGCCGGATCCCACCCTGCCAAGCGGGATAGGGATGCACGTGCCGCGGGGCGCGCCGCACTTTCATTGGCTGGCCTGCCGGGCGCGGCCTCCGAGCCATCCTGTAAGGGCTGCGGTTTGCGGAGGCGGGGCACGGGGGGCGGGCTCAGCGAGGAGCACAACACGCAGGCGCGAGTGGGGCAGGCTCCTGCGTTCCACTTGGAGAGGTGTCCGGCTCTGAGACGTAAGGGCTCGGGGAGGATCACGATTGGTACGCGTGTCCTGGCACGCAAGGTTGGGCTGAAGTCTTGTTGAACATTACTCCAGGAGTCGTGGATGGGGGAACCTGCGTGCATCCCCTCTTTAGGCCAGGGCAATGCGTGTCCACTGCGTCTGCGCTCTTGGCCTTGTTCGGAAGGCAACTGCAAAAGCCTGCGCATGGATCGCAACGTGAGCCCAGTGGCACCATCCCTGGCCCGACGTATCTGCTGAGAGTTTGCCCACGTGCGGGGTACTCCACCTTTTCCTAAGTCTTCAAGCCGCCCTTAGGACCCATTACCACGGGAGAACCTCCAGACGTACGTCTGGACCCTAGGTCAGCTCCGGAACCCCCAAATCGGATTCCACGTTTCCCCCACCAAGCAACCCACTCCCTCTCGGTGTCCACATGGTGTCTCCCTATCCCTCTGTTGTTATTTTCATGGTCCCACATCATTTCTCTGTAGATCATATTTTAAATTAGACACAGTGTTTAAATCACAATGTACATAACATTTAAAAAAATACTTTAGTTGTAGATGGACACAATACTGTTATTTTATGTATTTATGTGGTGCTGAGGATTGAACCCAGTGCCTCACACATGCTAGGCAAGTTCTCTACCACTGAGCCACAACCCCAGCCCTGTACACGTTACTGTCCTCTAGAGTGTGTTCTTTCTTTTTTTGCAAGCCATTGCATTTGTAAGCTCTCTTCTGGTACACACTTGATACATTACTTAGATTGTGGCCTAGCATTACCTGTTACACATTTGTCATCGTTTACTTAGTGATTCTTCCACCTCCCGGCTTCCACAAACTTCTTGGCTGTAAAGTAGAATCTCATAATCATTTTAAGATGTATTTTTCATTAACAGCCACTAACACCATTTTTTTAAAAGTAACGGCCATTTTTAGTCCTTTCAGTTTTTTTTTCTTGTGAATTTTCAAGATTCCTTTGATTCTCTTAAATATTAAGCTTGTGTTATTTTTGCTATTGCAAATATCTTTTCTCATCTTGTCTTTTGTAAAAGAAAAATCCTAATTTTGATGGGAATCAAAGTGTATATCTGTATATTTTCATTGTTTTTGCAATTGTTGCCGTGCTAGCTATAGAACCAAAGCCTCAGGCATGCTAGGCAAACTACCAGCCTGCTACATACTTTTGTATCTTATTTTTTGAAGAGGACATCTCCAAGTTGACGTCTTTTAAAATATTTTTAGTGACTGCATATCAAACTTTTAATATTCATGAATATCTGACTATAGTGGTTGGGCACTTAGATTATTTTTGCCCTATTTCTGCATAACTATAGATTGAATTTTTTAGCACTAGACCATCATTCTCTGCATTATTACTCCTAGCATCTTTATTAGAGACATGTCATTTCCATACCATCTAAATTATTTCAGTGTGTACCTGAATTATAGAGAGTCTTTCCAGTGCCCTGGCCTGTCAACTCATTGGCCCCTTTGTCTTTTGCATGGTCCTAGATGTTGACCCTGCCCCCACTGGCCACTGACTAGCACCTTTTATTCTGCCCCCCCCCAATTTTGTATAATATGGTAAAATACACATAAATTTACTATTTGTTTATTTATTTATTTTTGGTACTAAGGGTTGACCCAAGGGCGCTTAACCACTGAGCTACATCCCCATTTTTTTTTTTTTTTAAGAGACAGGGTTTGCTAGGTTGTTGAGGCCCTCACTAAATTGCTGAGGCTGGCTTTGAACTTGTGATCCTTCTGCCTCAGTCTTCCAAACTGCTGGGATTACAGGTATGTGCCACCATACCTAGCTATTAGTGTTAATTTGTATTTCCCAGTAATTAAATGACATTGAGCATCTTTTTGTGTATTTGCCTTAAATGCTTTTAATCATGACTTATATTACCAATTATATTTTATGTATACAATGTTTCTATTTTGGATAATAAAAAATTTTGGAACTAGTGGGTGGTTTTGCAACAATGCAATATACCTGATGCCACTGGAACAATACATTTTAAAATTGTTAAAATGGTAAATTTTATGTTATACAGGTTCAGCATGTCTAATCCTCAAATCCAAAATCTGAAATATTTTGAGTGCTGACATGATGCCACAAACGGAAAATTCCAGACCTAACACCCTGGGGTGGTTCACAGTTAAAACTAAAAATGTAAAAAAATGACCTTCACTTTTGTTTTAAGGTTTGGGTCCCTTTCCCTAAGGTACTTCATTAAATATATGTGAATATGTCAAAATTGAAAACAATCCAAAATACTTCTGGTCCCAAGCATTTGGATAAGGGATACTCAAACTGTATATTTTTACCACAACCAAAAATAATTTAAAAATTGTTTCAAGTCAGGTATAGTCCTGTAGTCCCAGCTACTGGAGAGGCTGAGGCAGGCACATTACAATTTCCAGGTGAGCAACTTAGACCCTGTCTCAAAAAAAATAATGAAAGGGATAGGGATGTATCCCAGTGGTAGACCACTTGCTTATCATGTTCAATCCCCAATACCACCACCAAAAAAAAAAAAAAAAATGTTTACACTGTGATCCAGTGCACATATATGTGAAATAAAAGTTTCATGATTTAATATTATTTTTTAAATGCCCTGATATGTTTCATGCTTCTACTTCTATTTTATTAACAAAATCCAGGACACAAATCTCTAAGTGATCTTGTCACCATAAGGAGGTTCAAGGAAATTCTTTATAGAAGCAGAGGATGCCTTCCAGGCTCTTGACATTGCAGAAGAGATTTTAATGATGTGTCAGGTTAGCGATAAGAGGAAGAGCTTTATTAGAATGTGAAAGGTAAAGATACATTTTCTTGGCCTGAGGTTGTGGCTTAGAGGTAGTTTGCTCGCCTAGCACGTGTAACATGTGTGAGGCCCTGGATTCGAACTAACAAATATTTTAAAAAGATACATATTCTCAGAGCAGAATGTGGCTATCAGCAGAGCAAGATGTGCTTTTGGAGTCTTGGACTTTTCTTTTACAGGAAACTTTGAGAGGGGAGGGATGGGCAGGAGAAAGTAGATAGGAATGACATCTTCCTAGTGAACTCAGTTCTTTGATTATGGATCACAAGACTTTTATGATGTCAGCCCTATCTAATGTTGGGAATGTGCCTATGTTTTAGGTTTTTTAAAATACAGCTACCTAGTCTAAAAAAAAAAAAAACATTGTGTAGACTGACAGAACATGTAAGTTTTAATGAAAATAAGGCAGTGTTCACAGATGAGTGAATTTACAATAACTTTAAAATTTGTAGATTCCTCAGAAATTTGGGAATGAAAGTTGTGGAGGAAAAATCAGGTCTAGGGAGTAAGTCTAATYATGGGACTTTTAGATTTATAGCTGCAGTCTCTTTCTTTCCCCTTAATCTAYTTTCTCCTTTATCTCTCATCTTTATTTCTTTTATTCTTAATTATTTTTTAGTTGTAGGCAGACATAATATCTTTATTTCATTTATTTTAATGTGGTGCTGAGGTTTGAACCCAGTGCCTCATGTAAGCTAGGCGAGCACTCTACCACTGAGCCCCAGCCCCAGCCCCTCATCTTTATTTCTTCTATTTTATCTCAGTCTCACAAGATGCACATCAGCCATGCTCTGCCATCTGCCACTCACTGCTGGTCCTTCTCATCACACTGTCTATAACCACAGTTTCAACAGCCCATGCTGATAGGCTTCCTTTCCACTCTTGGAACCTCTCCTTTTAGTTCCCAGCCCCACAACTCATGGTCCTACTGCCTGTCCTCCTCCTCTCTCAGTCCCTTTCCCATACTCACGTTTGAAAAAAAAAAAAATGTCTTCCGACACCTGGAAACACAGCAGTGCAGCTGGCTGCAGCTTTACTTTCAGGAGATTAATTTGTAAGAGAGCTTAGTCCTCATGGCCACCCTCCATCAGCTCCACCTCTCATGTCCATTTAGGTTCCTACCCTTCTGCAAGACAATTATATGTCTCCTTCTACTTTGCTAACTCTGTGCCCTCCTATATGAAAACAGACACAGACAGGAGAAAATTTCTCCCTGTTCCCCCCATTAAACATCCCATCAGTGTGCCTCCCTTGCCCATCAGCCAATGCCATTAATACAGGGCTCATGTCCTCAATTCTCCTCTTTCCTAGTGGTCCCACAGAAAAGGAGACACGTTGTAAATTCCATCTGCCCCTTTAGCTATCCCCATGTACTGTGGTTTGAATATGGTTTGTTTCTTCTGAAAATTGTTGAAATTCGACACTGCGACAGTTTGGGAGGTGGGGCCTTAAAAAGGTGATAAAGTGGTTAAGAGGGATTAATGCCTTTCTGTCAGTGAATTCTCATTCTTGGGGAGAATGAATTAGTACCCCTCCCAAGTAGGCTATTTAAAAGCCAGGCTGTCCTTCTTATATCCCTCCTTTCACATATGCCTTTCTGCTTTCTGCCATGAATTAAAGCAGCAAAATGCCCTCACTAGAAGTGGCTGCCTAAACTTACATTTCCCCAGCCTCCAGAACCATGAGTCAAAATGAACCTCTTTTCTCTCTCCCTCTCTCTGTCTTTTTTCTTCTTCTTAGTACTGGGGATTGAACCCAGGGGCTCTTAACCATTGAGCTCCATCTCCAGTCCTTTTTATTTTATTTTATTTTTTTTTTTGAGTCAGGGTCTCACTGAGTTAATAAAATTCTGACTAAATT